TATATTATATAAAATTTGAGATGTCCTTGTAAGCCTTGAATCAGGTTTTAAACAACCAAGTCTCCTTTAAAGGTTTAGAGATGTATTATACTGACTTGGAAAATGTTTATTCTATATAAAACATATTTAAACATAAATTGTAACCTGGAGCAGAAGCAATCATTTCTTAAAAGTTAATTTATAGTTTTAATAGGAACCATGTTGTAATTTAACAATTTTAGCTTACAATAGAATTTACAAGTCAATTTGATATCTAGTAAGTTATTAACAATTGTTTTATTAGTATTAAACATAAATCCATTCATAACAGTCTCATTTAATAAATACTGTGGTTAGACACAATGTCATAACAAACCAGTTTTAAAACGAAGACCTTGATGAATTTTTTGATCAGATGTATATGAAAGAAACTCTTAAAAGCCAGCAGTACTTTACATATATATTCGTATACATACATATATTTTACGTTAGTCTGTGTTAGTGACCAAATAATCCCAGTAACTACTTTTACTATAGACAGTCATACCCTCTGCTGTAATAGTTTACACGTTAGCTGTTTTTATTGTATAGTGTATTTACTCTTAGGCTGTTTTGTAGCCTAGACTTGCATTTGAAGTGGGAGGGCCGATCCCATCTCCAGAGTCAGCGTCTTAGTGAGCTCAAACAGGACGTGACAATTTACCAATATAATTAGTACAGAAAGGCATTTGTTCTTTTTAAGCCTAAAAGTTTTTAAAAGTTTTTAAAATTGTTTATCCATATATTATTTTTAAACTAAGGCAAGACTGTTAACTTGCATGGTGAATTTCTTTGAAGAGGGCTGTCAGTCTGGGTTGGAAAAAACATGTTTGCAGTAGCTTGGGGGGAGAAAAGGCTAAAAGGAGAAAAGGTGCGAGCCCTGCATCTGCAGACGGACACAGTAGCGTCCTGCGGCATGCGCCCCTGGAGGGGGGTTGAAAAGGCTATGACCAGTGCTGCGCATGCACCCTTAGTGGGAGCCAGCTGCCATCTGGGTGTGTGCAGCATGAAGTCATGTCCCCTAAGGGGAAGCCTGCAGGGGTGCAGAGGACTACCGGAGAAAGCCCTCTACATGGGGTCATCCTCTGATGAGCCCCTTCCCCAAGAAAAAGTTTGTGGAAAAAAAAATGGCTTTTTAAAATCTTTTTTTGTTTGTATGGCACAAGCTGCCTTAAATTCTTTAAGTGCTCCGTGGCCACCCACGGTTTAAATCCTTTGTTTTTGTTTATGGGGCACTTGGAGCTGGAGTGCCCTTTTGTCCTGAGACTAGTTAATTTAAATTCTCACCTAACTGGTTTAGCTTGAGCTTGAGCACCCCAGGGGTGAGATAACAAAACAGATTAAGGAAGTTTGTTATTTTAGATGTTGAATTCAAAGCTTGTATAAAAATCCCTTAGAGCTTTGGGGATTTTGTTTCTAGGGGTGTTAAGATAGAAAAGGAAAGGGGGTTGAAATGCTGATTCCTAGGGGAACATGCCCAGGATCAAACCTCAGGGAATTCCATGGAGTCCACAGCGCAAGCCTGCCCACAAATTTAAGAGATCTGGTGACTGCTCTAAGAGCAATTAACTGGTCCTTGTGTTACCGGATTTTTGCATTAGAAAGATGTATAGATAGGGGGTCTTGTCTACACCCGTGCGGGCATTTGGGGTCTGTTAAGAGGGCTAAGAGCCTTTGGCTAACATCGGGGTAGCCCTGATCAGAAAGCCTCAATTGCTCCTTTGTCTTTAATGGTCCCATGCGAAGACTCAGACTAAAAATAAAAGGAGGAAAAAGAGGAGAGACTGCTGATCCTCAAGGGTGGGATGGCTTAAGGCAAAGCTGCCACTACTGTCTTGGGAAGAGGGGATACTCACAAACTCTGCATGTTCCAGGAGCCCCACATTGGGCGCCAGCTGTGGGGTCTCTCCCTTTCCTCGTGGGTCGTTGGCCACTGGTCTACGAGGACAAAGGGAGCAGAAGTGACGAACGGGGTCAGGGATGGCCAGTGAGCACTGATGGAAGAAAGCCCTTCCCAGGAGGCAGGTTCAGTGATACAAACAGCTCCAGACTCAGTGAAACAGCTCCGTTTATTCAGTGGGGGGTAGGGAAAATATAGTGTGGAGGCAGTAGCCAATGCTTCAGCTGATAGGTGCTCATAGTATGCTTTATTTACATGTGGCAGTAGGATCTTATTATCTGACTATCGGGCAATGCCTAATTATCATAGAGAAAAAACCTGGGGGTAGTTTTTACTCCAGGTAACTATGCCAAAGGTCATGTTTTAAATGAGGCCAAGCATCTGTGCTTGGCGACACTTTCCAGGTAAGTCAGTCAGGAAACCCCTGCTGAGAAAGGAGCCAACCTTAACAGTAGGGTTCCCCAACACTGGGCCTCCTGTGTCTGTACCTTTCAGCTTCCAGGATTCCCAGCCCTGTGACCATTTGAGGCCAGTATGTGCTGGCTCCTTATACTTCTCTATCACCTGCCTTGTACCCAGCCCATTTGGTGTGAATTTGACCTGCAGTGCTTTCTGCACAGGCAGGACGTGGAGCAGTTGTATTGTGTGTTGGGCACCAAGGCAGACCCAGCAGCACCATGCTGAGTGTTCTGTTCCCTTTTTAACCCCCTCCCCAATTGCCCATTTGCTTTCAGAAGGTATTTGTCCCCAATCCCATTGGGGACCCCTTCATGAGACATTATCATCTCATGGGCTCCTAGCCACCCATATGCTTGCCTTCCCTCCATCCAGGACCTCTCCCCCTAGCCATTCCAGTCAGACTCCAGGGGAGATGTCTCAGATGCCTTAGTTCTGAGGTTGAGGTGACAGCTGCTTATTCTTGGACTTGACTGAGCTGCCTGCCTGGCCACCCTTTTCCCACTGGCAGTTCTCAAGTACCTACTTGAATGAGCTCAAGGCTGAGGAAGGACCAGTAAGGCAGCCTGGTCTCTTTAGCACCACCCAGCACTGTTGTCCTCTAGTGCACAGCTTCGGCAGCTCAGGGCTGGTTTCTCAGAGCTTTGCTGCCTCTTGAAGGTGATTTATAGCCAGTCACTGACGGGCCTTCCACTGTCCTCCCTCCAGAGCGAGCCAGTAGCTCCTCACACAGGTGCAGGAGGTGGACTCTCATCTGATGAAGAGGAGGGGACCAGCTCACAAGCAGAAACTGCCAGGGTCCTGGCTTCCTCTTGGCCACAAAACCGAGAGGCCGAAGAGCAGCAGCCCAAGTGCCCTAAGAAGACCCGGAGGAGGGCGGCTGCGGCAGCTTCCCACCTCTTCCCCTTTGAGAAGGAGTGACCTGAGTGCCTTCCTGCTCACGCAGTCCTCTGCTTCAAGTCCCAAGGCTGGGTGGCAGTTCTCTGCTGAGAAGGCAAACAGTTGATCGGGACCCCAGGCCAAGTAGAGGTTGTGCTGCAGGTCCATCTGGTACCAGCCCTTGCCAGATCCCCACAGGGTAGGGCCTTGGAAGTTGACCAGAACCCACATTAAGGCTAGGAACAGTACCCTGGGAGATACCTTCTGACCTCTTGACCTTGTTATTCCCATCATTGCAAATGTTTATTTTTTTCTAAAGGATTTTAACCATGTTGCCCAGGCTGGCTTAAAATTCAAAATCTTCCTGCCTCTTTGTGCTCAGGGCTGGGATTACAGGCATGTGCCACCACGCCTTGTCTGTTTCTTGTTTTAAAAAGCCATCACTGGGAAAGTTCTGAATATTGGAGCATTTGGGGATGCATCCCTCCTTTAGTGCAGCCGGAGTCTTCACACGTCAAGCTCTTGTGTCTCCACACTCCTGCAGACCAGGGTGTCTCCTGTGCAGATCTCTCACATGGTTTTGACTTTTGCTCAGTGCTGTCTCTGTGGTCAGGGAGACTACAAGTCCTCTCCTGTCAGAACACCTTGGGTGGGGGATTTGTGGTGGTAGAAGACAAGAATAGAATTTAAATCAAGAATGAAGAACTTGTTGAGAATTATGGAAATATTAGTAAAAGATTAGTCTTAAACTAGATTTTATTCTTTCCTGGATAAATTCACTTAGCTTATCTTATGTTAGCAGATACTCAGGAGAAAGAACTTTTATAAAATCTTGATAAAATAAAGCATTTACCTAGAAGCACTTGGCTATACTTTCATCTTTCAGGTTTTACACCAGCTAGGAATGTCCAGAGAAGAGATTTCTATGCACAGCAAGACTTGAGAAAACTTACATTGGTTTTCATGGAGTCTGGTAACTAACTCATTGCACACTGAGGCGTTTTCCTCTGTGTGTCTGAGGGAGCTATTTCTCCATCTTTGAGCAGTGTTTAAAATGTTGAGTCACTCCTACCAAGGCAAACAAACAAAACACTTGGTGTGACTCATATGCTGGACTGCTCTGGTAGAGAAACAGATTGGGGTTGCCATGGAAACCACATTCTTACACTTCCTATACTCCAGCCTGACAAGCTTCCTAGATGCAGGTGATTTACTCTCTGGGGTTCTGGTTCGGCACCTCCATGTCTGGAGATGTGACCTGTTCAGGCAGGTGTGGGCTACGAGACCGGATGGGAATGAAATGGTAGCTTGGAAAGTTTGTCCATGAGCTTAGCAGCCTTTCTCAGGAGGGAAGTGATGAAGTGGGCACCCACATGTTAGGCACTCAGACTTGAGTTTATGACAGCCCTGTGCAGTGACAGGCATTGTCCCCATTTTACAAATACAACAGATGATTGGCCCAACACTACGAGCCAATCAGGCAGGCTGTGTCTGTGTGCCACTCAATAGACGGTGCCTTTTGCACCACATCGTACTTCCACTTCTAGCACATTCTGCAGGTCTGTGAAGCATGAGTCATTTACTTTAAATAAAGCCAAGACAAAGCATGCTTTGAGAGCTAGGGATATTGAGCTCCCCTTCTTAAAACAATTGAGACCACTTAAGAGCAGTGTGGGATTGAATTGACTAAAATTCATACAGTTCTTAACAAGTCTGATGGCTGAATTCCTTAAAAGAATATAACAGCAACCCCCACCCAAAACAGGCTAATGGCAAGGTTCTATACCAAAAGATAGGCAGAAACTTATTTCAAATTTTAATGAACAATATCAAGAATACAAATCTCATTCGTTTCAAATTATTCTTTCCATCACTTGCTCTATAAGAACACTTGAAGTGGCAGGTAAAACCCATATAGGAAAGGTTTACACAAACTGAATCCCAAGGTTTAATATTCAGCTGTCAATATTACTGTGTTTTCCCAAAGTCTCCTTTTGGATACTAGATACAATTGCATCCACGTGCAGCAGTGAATACTGTTGGAATCCTGAACCCAGATAAGCCATCCCGGCTGCATTGTTACCACGAATCCCAATTAAAGGCAGATACCTCAGGACAGGAGTGGGGTGTGGGGGAGCTCTTAGTTTCCAAGGATCCAGCACCTCACTCAGCTACCAAACACTTGCTAAAGCAACCGCTGCCAGCCAGCGCAAGAGTTTGCAAATGTGGATAGCGTGAGCCAGGGATCTCTGAAGATAGGGCTGCAGCACCTTTCAAAGCATGTAATTGCTGGGGACTTAGAAATATGTGAATTAGTGTGGGTGGATTTTATTTGGAGTAAGCAAAGTGATGGCCATTAAACACAAAAAGAACCACTTTGCAGCAACTACTTGAGTCTGGAGTGCCAAGGTCAAAAGCATTTCCATGGAGAGGGGCTGGGCTGGGCCTGGCCAGACGTGAACCTCTTTCAGCAAGACTTAGTCCCCTGATTCTTGACTGTGGATGACTGGAGGTTGGTATGAAGGAGCTCTCTTACCAGTTTACTACAAACTCAAAGCCACCTTCAAATGAACAGGTAGCCTCCAATGCCAGAGGATGACTAGGCGCTTTCCTCTAGTCGCAGCCCAGTGGAAAAACGACTCGACTAACTGTTCAAAAGCATCCCATCGCTAAGCTTCCCAGTAACTGAGGTAACTAAAAGCAGTTATGTCACACCCCAACTTAACACCTTTCTTTGCTGGGAGTTAAGTCTCACCTGACAGCAACAGTCAGGTGTTTTAGTCATAGCTTAGCTCCCTAGATTAGAAAGAACACACGAAGGAGTAACAGAACCAGAGCTTTGTAACAGAACCAGAGCCTTCAGGGCTTGCACCCCAGACATCTGCCCTCCACAGGATGATTGTCATCTGGATGATTGTCATCTTCAGTGTTTCCTTCTGCCAAATCAAGTTCCACCTGCAGACTTGTGCATTCTGGCTTCGGATCAGGTGTGGCTAGCAGCACTGGGTGAGGGCTGCCTTCTGGAGTCAGGTGTTGCTGATGGTTATGACAGTCCTGGCCCTTGGCTTCAGTGATGAGAAACAGGCAGTGAGAAGGCAGAGCCCTTCACCACCAACAGGTCATCTGACAGTGGAATAAAGTACACAGACCCACCACACCTGCTGAGCCAGAGAGGGAGAGAGAAGCAGGACAGTACTCGGGTCTATTCTCAAGCTGTTTCTGCCCAACAAAGCTGCGTTCTGGCAAGGAAGAGTGGAGAAGATGCAAGCTAGCAAACACCGAACCCTACGCACAGGCTGCCAGTGTTGGCCCCTTGAAGAGGGAGGCACATAGATGGCCTGCTCCGGCTAGTGCTGGGCAGGCTGAGGGGATACCTGGACCCCGACTCTTCACTCCAGTTTTTTGGCTGGCACCCGGGTCCGAGCAATGATGATGGGCACCAGGGCCAGGCAGCCGATGAAGGTGGCCCACAGTGGCCGGTAGAACAGCCAGCCTGCAGCCACGGTCAGTAGGGTCAGTGAGGTGGCCACGCAGAAGGCAAAGGCTTTCAGGCCAATGTTGACCAGGTCTCGGAAGAAAGGAAACCAGTCCACTGTGGGGAAAAGAAAGACCATAAGGCCCCAAGGCCACGGTGCTCCCTAAACCCAGACCGCACCCCTCTTTGCCAGGTGAGGAAGTAAAAGGTCAGAGGAGGAAAGCAAAAAGCCTCACATTGAGTCTTGGTGCACCAAGCCTACATAGGACGGTGCTTGTTCTGTCCTTCCTTACTGCTCAGGCCCAGGCCTGGGAAGTGCCTGGTGCTCAGGTGGTGGTTGTCTGGAGAAAGCCTGAAGGCATGGGCTCAGTTTCCCATCTATAAATGAGGGAGCTCCTGGCCCCCACTCTGCTGATAATGGGACATGCTCCAACCACACCATTACCCAGAGGATGAATCTAAGTTGGGGAGATGTTCCGCTGGTACCACAGGAAGGCTGAACGAGGACACACACTGGGGCAGAGGCTTAGGTGCTAAGTTTCTGAGCAGACCATCTGCATCAACAGTGTTAGCCTGAACATGCTCCGCCTCCTGGAGATGGGCCCTGAACCAAGCTAAGCCACTCAAACTCTAGCTCTCTGGTGCCAACATCAGGCCACTTGAGCAGCTTCTCCCAGGGCCCAAGACTTGATGGGTGCTGCAAACCTGGCCCAGCTACTGAGTTGAGGTGTTTCCATATATGAAACTCTCATGCAAGAGTCAGGAAGGGAAGCTCAGGCTGGGAATGGAATGGCTCAGGTACCCAGAGTTCTGACTCAGATTTCAAATGCTGGTGTAGCCCACACAATTGGCTGGCCAGCCTCTTCCCCATGGCTATTCAGGGATGAGCCTGTGGGCAGAGAACTGGAACTGGCCAGACTTCCATTACAATGTGACAGGCACAGGGCAGCAAGAGGGAGGGCCAGCTCCTGTTGGGAGACCTCTGTTATGCAAAAGTCGAAGCCCCTTCACACCGGACAGCTCATGCAGCTCGGGAAGGTGCCGCGGGCTCCTTTTCATAGCAAGGTGCTTTCTGGCATCTTTCCTGTCTCTCCCTTTGAAGTGGCCGCCACAAATGCCCTGACATAAACATGGCCTTTGGCTCTATGCATACCATGCCTTCCTGTGTGTGATTTTTACAGGTAGACAATAGTCTAGCAGAAACCCACTTCCACATGTAAATAGAATATCTCACAAAGTATCTAAAAGCTTTTACCACTACCCCCATGGTATATAAATATGCTAGTCTTCTCTTAATAGTCGGAGATCGGGTCAGAGACTGGGTCCCGGAGATTGGGTCCCAGAAAGCTGGATCAGCAGAGGGCTGGATGGCAAGGAGCAGAGATACAATAAAGCTGTAAACACAGACTAAGCCATGCCTTGAGTCCTGTGTCTTACTACCAGCGACCTGATCTCACTGGAGAGCAGCACTCTCAGTTATCGACCCACAGATACCCCAGCTTTTGCTGCCTCCATGCCTCTTCCCTGTGGAGTTCACTGGCCAGAACTCCGCAATCCTGAGGAAAGGTACAAGGGTGTAATAGAGGCAGGATTCCGACTGAGCTGAGCCACTTGTCTTGAGCTGTAACACTAAATTCTGTGATCCAGTCTCCCCGGAGGGCACTATTCCTCCATTATCGGCCCACGGATACCCCAGCTTTCACCGCCTCCATGCCTCTTCCCTGTGGAGTTCACTGGCCAGGAACTCCGCAATCCTGAGGAAGGGTACAAGGGTGTAATAGAGGCGGGATTCCGACTAGATAATACTCTAGTAGCAGAGGAAGCTCTCCGCTCCAGAGAAGTGTGTAGCTATCAGCTACAGCCAGCATCAGAGAAGTCTGCGCACCTGCTGTCTCCAGAGAGGCGCGGCCAGCCAGGCCCGCCAGCCACTAGCTAGCCAGCGGGACCAGAACCACGGTGGGAGAGTGCATGCACACCTGACCCTGGGCCACATCCAGAGTGAGTGCGCCCAGGAGCCCAGGCACGCTCCCCACATCACTTGCAGCCAGACTCACGCCGGGATTAGCCAGGTGTGGCGGAGACCCCGGGGTGCCCGCACACACCACGCCGGGGGTCCAGCGACCTGCCCCATAAGCTCCCCTGTTCCCTCCACACATACCTAGGGTGTAGAGGATCCGAGTCATGAGGTTGAGGCCCATAAACATGGCCATCCAGCCGGCTGCCCGCAGGCCCCATGTCTTCATGGAGTTGCTCTTCTGTTCTCTACGAAACACCTCCTGCAGGACAAGGTGGCATAGGACTCAGGGTGGCACCAGCCTGCCCAGCCAGCAGTATGGGTGCTGAGAGGCTGTTGGCCACTTCTTACAGAGCACAGGAAGACACCTGGGAAAACCTCTCACACACATTTAACTCCCTTGGCCTGTGGCACAAGAGTGTGGAATAAGAGATCTTTGTGGTCTAGCCTGTGGCCCCACCTGGAGGAAGGCCACCTTCAGCCTCTACTTTGTCTGTCCTTGCCTCTCTTCCTGGACTCTATATGCAGGTATTCTGTGGCTGTCTCATCCACTCTGCCCAGGACCTCCCACGAGTCCTGTGACTGCCACATGCCTGTGACTTATAACACTATTCATAAGGACTGCTTCTAGGCGCACAGGCTGGGGCTCCTACACCTCCTAACCACTGTCCCCGGCCTCCTGGCATGCCTGACACCACAGCCTCCAGCCCATCCTGCATCTCCATCTTCTCCACCTGCACATGCTGGAACCTGGGAGTCAGGTGTGACTGCCCTCTCCTTGCCACCTAAACCCCATCAGCTTTCTCCTCACTGTCCACCCCTGAGCTATGCCATCACCATCCTTCACCTGGGGCCCTCACACTAGCTCTCGCCCCACTGCCTCCCTGCTTCCTCACCCCATCCTGTTTCCACATCACACAGCTGTGGTGCCACCTCTGACCTATTGCCTGGGCCCTGGGCCCATGGCTGGCTGTGTCAGATGGGATCAAGTGTGCTGTCACACCCAGCCTTCACAATGCAGACTGCCCACAGCCACCCGGCAGCTCTGTACTTTCTTCCAGTCTTGGCTCAAATGCCACCTCTTTTGACAGGCTTCCCTGACCTCTGATTGAAATCAGTACCCTCCTACCCCAATCTCAACACAGAAAGATGGGAAATACTTGTCTTAATATTTAGGTGTCACTGCCTTAAGTATTTTGCATATATACTTAATTGATTCCTAAACTCAGAAAGTAGGAACCCTTATCCCCATTCTACAGATGGGAGACTGAGGCTCTAAGTGGTTAAGTGACATCATATACCTATAGCCTCAGCACAGGCAGTTAACTAAGTTCTCAAGAGCAGGGACCATTCCTGATATCCTATGCTCAGAGATGATGTGTAGACTTCATGAAGAGCTACCACACAAGATGCCGAGATAGTGTTTTTAACATTTTTCATTTTACAGGTAAAGAAACGGGCTCAGAGAGATTAAGATTGGCTTAAGGTCTGAGGCAGAGATGGAGCCAGGTAGGAGATAGATTGGGGCTGTGAGCAGTGTCCTGGTCTGGGCCCTGTACTCTTTTGCCCCTGGAGTCCTGGCAACCTGACTTGGGGTCCAGCTTTCTTTTCCGTGTGCCTACCGGCCCACCTGCCTGGTCAAGCCTTCCCTCCTGGCCCTCACTAGCCACGTGCTACCTGCCACTCTGTGAGGAACAGCTCTGAGACCCGGGACTCTGCCGGAGAAGGCTGGAAGTCAGGGGCTAGACAAAAGCCCTGAGAAAGAGAAAAGGGCCTCCTAATTTTAGATCAGTCCCTAGGGTGACTCATGGCCCACCAGGCTGGGAGGCAGCAGCCCCACCCTGAGACTGGTAACCAGCCCTACCACACCCTGTCTTGGCCAGGTACAAGGAGAAGGTGGGGCCCAGACACTGCCACCCACTGGGATGGAGACTGGGAGGAAGGCAGCTGGATGGACAGAGGACAGCTGAAGGCCCAATAATATAAGGGCCACAGCCTGCAGCCGTGGCTCTGGCTGTTGTGGATGAAACCCCAGCAATTTTCTTAAAGCACATAAAGAAGAGCCGGGACAAACCTGCTGGGTTAACAGCTAGAATCAGCACTGCCTTCTGTTGAAGAGGACTTCCCACCGGGGAAGGGAGACTACCTCAGGTTTCAGAACTGACTTATCAGGATCCCTCCTCCTCAGCACTGGGTACAACTGAGGAAAGGTACACCCAGAGGACTATGGAACCTATGTGCAGGTAGGTACTCCCCTCACTCACTCAATCCTGACATCCCAGCTCCAAACCCTGCATTGTTATGATGCCCAGTAGGGTGAAGAGGCCCCTCACTACCCACACTGTCCCCTGTACTCCTGGTGCCCAGTAATGAGGGTGTTTGAGGATAGTCCTCTTTATGAGAGCCTCTGTCATAGGCCCTGGCTGTAGAAACCCATTTCTTTGGAAAAGCTGGCACAGCTATTCTCCTTAACTCTGCACAACCATCCTTACCTCAGGTCTTTCTCGCTACTCTGCCTGTTAGGCTGACCACCTGAGGAGGCAGATTCCACTCACCGTTCAGTCCTCAGTGCCCTGCACAACCCTGCACGGGAGGCTGCCACCCTATTTCTTTTTCTTGCTGCACTGCACTGGTGGTGGCCTCTGCAGCGGAGCTTCTTAAATAGTGCCAGGTAGCAGAGAAGGATGTGCCTGTCCCTCATCACACAGCCAAGGCAGCGGCAACTCACCTCTGCTGAGAAGTCCCCATGGTGCAGGAGCAGCAAGGTCTCCCCAGACTTGGTGGAGTATGGGACAAGCTGGTCACCCCGCTGTCGGGCAATCACAGTGACCTGGTCAGAGACATGAGTATTAGAACTGAGTAGGGCCATCAGACAGGCAGAGGCACAGGGTGAGACCCACAACCCAACCTGCAGATTCCAGCCAGGAAGTGAGGAGACTTGGGGCTTGTCTCCATCTTCCATGGGAGGCAGCCCCTAGTGCTCTGGTTCAACTGCTTCATTCCAAGCTCCAGGGAGGCCCCTGGGCAGAAGCCCATGTTGGAAAAGAGCAGGGGATGGGGTGGGGCTTCATAGGAAAGGGCTCTGCCAGACTGGGAGCTACTGTGGGCAGGACAGGTGGTCATGGCAAGCAACAGCTGAGTAGCAGAGCATATGGGGCAGCCAGACCAAGTCTGAATCACCTGCCTTTCTTCCCTCATCTTGGCTGCCTGAGCCCTAAGAGTCTTCTCTGTCACCCTCCTAGGTCAGGCCCTATAGTGGAGTTCTGACTATCTGTAGGAACCAAGACCAAGTACTCACAGATCATATATTATGATCAGGGGAAGAGCTGCCCATGACTGGAATAACTCTAGGACTATGGTTCCTAGCCTAGGGTCCAGGGACAGCTATGGGGAAAATGCTCAAGAGCGCACCGACTGCTTATACAATAGAGTACACTTGAGTTTCCAGAGATGCCAAGTGGCCATGACCATTCCCACCCCAGGTGTCTGGGCCCAGGGAGTGGTGAACCCCTGACTTGGAGTCTGCCCCTAGGAAACCAGGTTACCACATGAGCTGGGCCCAGGTCAGGGTCATCGCTGCTCAGCCCTGCATAGGAAAAGGAGACGCGTACGTCGCCAACCTAGGGGTAGAAGTGAAGAGAAAACTTAGGGAATGGCAATGCCATCAAATCCCTGAACCTGGCCTTCCCATCCCACACCTTTCACCATGCTGTCCTGTCCCTAGAAGGCCTTCCCATCTCCAGTTTCACTGGGCGAAGTGTAGCCTGGATTTGGCTGAACTGAACGTCTGCACATGGCTGGCACACATTGCCCTCAGTGCTACTCTAAGGCCCTGGCCTCTGCCATCTGAGCAGTCCATGCCTCTGTGTACCTCGGGGTACTTGGGGTTTTCACTGTGGTAGAAAAAGTCTCCTCGGCGGATGATGTCCACATGGGGGTCCTCCAGCTTGGACAGACTCAGTGGCTTGAAGTTGTCAATCTTGTCAATAAGGCCTGAGAGAAGCAGTGCTCAGAGGCAGGGGCTCCATGGAGTACCCCTGCCTCCCTGCAACCTGACATCCTGGCCTACCTGGCCACAGACTGCCACCCAGCCCACACCTCGGGCCTTTGCCCACATGGCCCTCCCATCTGGAGGGTACTCTTTTTAGGGGGAAAGGGGAGTCAGCCTCCTGTAGCCCAGGGTGGCCTCAATCTCACTACATAGGTGAGGATGATCTTGAACTCCTGCTTCTCCTGCCTTTACTTCTCAAGTGTTGAGATTACAGGCCTATGCCACCAAGCCCACCTTTTTAAAAAAAATTTTGAGACAGGGTCTCACAATGTAGCCCAAGTTGGCCTCAAACTTGTGATCTTCCTCCCTCAGCTTCCTGAGTGTTGAGATTACAGTTGTATGTTACCATGCCAGCAGCAGTGCCCTATCCTGACTCCATTTCTTCCAGAACTTCCCTGTGCCCATGCCAGCCCATCTCAGTCACTGATCCTCCAGGAAGGCTTCATGCCCTCTCCTGCCCAGCCAGTCTGGCCCTTGATCTGAAAATGGTCTTGGCTTCTGCCCACCTCACCTCGGAATCCATCCATGTACATCTACGCTGGGCTGCTCTGCAAAGCAGGCACCAGTTGAGCAGCAAAGCTGATAGAGCACCAGGGCAAGAGGTACTTGCCTTTCTTCCCTTATCTTGGCTATCTGGGCCTTAAGTGAGTTACTGTTACCCTCCTAAGGCTGGCCCAGGGATGGAGTCACAGCGTTACTGTGATTGATGGTGCCACCTTAAACCTTGAAGGTTTCTACTTAGGTTCACTGGGGTGCCTGTGATGTGCTCCCTCCTTTTGGTACAGAGTTGGACTGGGCAGGGCTCAAATGTAGACTTGCTGGAGATTAGAGAAAAGGAAGGAAGGGAGTAACTTGTCTGCACTCCTGGCTGACATCTGCCTGAGGCAGGGCTCTGCCACAAAATCTGCTCAGAATAGACACCCAGAGCAGTGGGATGAGGGTATAGTACCTATGATTATTTCTAGGAAACCCAGGCTTTAGAGAAACCGGGAGGAGTGGGGTTCTACCTCAGGATTCACCTCCCTCTGGCCCCTGCCCTATGTATGAGATGGGGGTCGGCTAGCCTGACACCAACACCGAGGGCTGAGGGCCTGCTTGGTGCTGGGGCCACAGCCTGGGAGGGGCCAAGGGAAGGTCAGGACCCCAGGGCAGGCACCTCTGTAGAAGGCCCAAGACTTACCAGCTGAGAGGAAAAATCTGCCGATTTGGACAAAGGGGGCTGTTGCTGTGAACGACTCCACCGCCATGGCACTGAGGGAAAGAGGAGCTGTCAGCGATGGGGCACCAAGGTGGGAGCTGACTGGTCTCTATGGGCTGTGTGTGCTGGGGAGGGTCCCTACCCAGGAGGTTCCTGTAAGTCCAGACATAGCCTAGGCTTAGCACCATCCCCAGGGGCTCCTGCTTCCCTCCCCTGGGTGGAGCACCTCAACTGTCACCCAGGGCTTCACCTCTCCTACCTAGATCTACCACCTTGTCCCTCCCTCCCATGGCCATCAGATGGGCTCTCCCTAGACTGCATACCTCTTCTAGCCTGGGGAGCCTCTGACCTTTGACCCTCTTCCTGGCTGTGACTGCACATGCCCCTGCTCCAGCCACATCCAAGTGACACATCTAATTATAACCCCATGCCACAGAGAGACCTTCCCTGAGGAATCCTAAGGCCCAGAACAAATGCCACGTCCTCCCACCCGTGACAATAGCAAGGGCACTACATTGTACAAGGATCTCTCAGCTCCTCACCCAAGGCTTGTGCTGACTTATTTGAGGGTCAGCAAGAGCCAGCTTTTGCTCTGTGCGGGTGCCACCACAGGGTTTGGTGTTAAAACTACACCCCACATTTTCACCAGACTTTGGGGCAGAATTATCTCAACCCATTAATCAGATAAAAAACTGAGGCCAGTGCTTGTAATGGGTAGGCCAGGCTGGATACATGCCTAGACCCACCTCTCACCTGGGGTTTTTGTGGCCAATCTCTCGGTCAAAGTTTTTGCTGTTGACAATTTCCGACCTCCATTCGGGGTCTGCTTGGAAAGAAGGAACAACTCAGATTCCAAGGTAAGAGTGGTCTCATGGTCCTCCTATCATACTTCCTTACAACCTTTGATGGCTCCTGAGGCCTCCCTGGACAGTGGACCTGTGGGGCTCTGAGGACTGGCACCCAGAAACTATGCCTGGTGCTGTCATCTGCCACACCTCCCCACAGTTCCACTGTGCTGCTCATTGTCACCAGCCGAGGGTAGAGTAGAGATGGCATGTTCATGGCACATGCGGGGGTCTGATAGGCTGGTACTCACTGTAGGAGTACTTTGTCTCCTTCTTCACCTGCCCGTCCTCTGTGTATTCGCTGCAGAGAAAGCACAGGCAGCCATGAGTCAGCTCAGGCACACAAGGCTATCTGGTCTCCAGGCATCTCTGGATAGAAGTGGCCTCAAGACCCAGTGTCCCCAACCATGGAGCAGAACCTCATGGGCTCAGGAACATGCACTCCCCAGCCTCCATGGGGCAGGCAGGCATCATCTCTGGAAGGCCTGCTGGGAAGGATATGCTCCCTCAGCCTAGCTGACACCTGCCTCCTGTTGGCTTACCCTAAGGCACCTAGCTTCGGGCCCAGAGAGATATCTGACTGTTCCCTCTGGGAGAGTCCAGTGCAATGGGGGGACCTTCTCTAGCCTCCCTTGACCACTCCCTACCCCTCACTGGCCATGTGGTCCAGGTGGGGCTGAGCCCGGCCCTGGCTCCAGGTGATCGTCTCTGGCCACAGAGAGCCTTCCCTGGGCTTATGATAGGATGTAAACTACATGGGAAGGCACTGTGCCTGCTGTGGGAAAGAAAGAAGATGGACTAATGCAGGTAAAGCTGAGCAGGGATTGGTGATGGGAGGGCCACAATGATTCTAGTGACACCACTTGAGTCAAACCTCAGGCTGTACACTGAGGAAGGTCCCTGGTGAGAGAGCTGAGCAGTCCCCTCCTTTCAGCTTTGAGCCACTTTGCACTGGATTCTTGACACCGCCAAATAAAAGGTCACTGTTTACCAATCTTGGGCTACTTTGACACTTTTCTAATACCAGATCTTATGCTTTGATTTTGGTCAAATGGCATGAAAGCCAGTCCCTTATCCTGATATCTGTGCTCTTCACCTCAGTGATTCCTCATGCCTGGTCCTTACCTAGACTCTTCTGTTTCTACCCACTGGTACATCTCCACCTGCCGCCGCAATTTCACAGCTGGAAGATTGACCCCATAGTTTGGGTCTGACAGGAGCTTCAAAAAGAATCAAACATACCAAAAGAATAAAGATCAGGCTTACACGGTCCAGAATCCCTAACTCAGAGGAAGCCAGATTGCAGGAGAAATAAAAGCAAGGAGCAGGGCTGAGAGTGAGGAGCCTGGGGCAAAGCCCTCCTGAGCTCCCAACACAATACCTGTGACCCTGACCTTATAATACAGGCATGTACTGCATGTTCAGACACCAGCAAAGCCCCAAGAAGCAGACTGGCTACATGGTAGTCATAATCCCAAGAGCACCTATTTATGACATTCTCACCCAGACGGGCTAAAGCTCACCGTTACGTCATTTTACAGGTGAAGACGTCGGGACTGAGAAGTGATATGTCTGACACAGCTTTAGGGTGTGCAACCATACCCATATGGGTCTGTCTCCAAAGCCCAGCCCCAAGTCATCTAGCCTACCTTGGACGTCCTCAGCGCCCCGATGATGTGCACCAGCCTCCCTTCATTCTCTGGAGCCACACTGTGGATACTCTCAGGGGAAACCACGAGAGAGAGGCCCTCTGCCAGTGAGGTGGCTGTCTTCAGTGCACGGCCCTGTGAGTGGGGTGGAGTAGAGATTTCAATAACTCAGGAGCTGCTAGACATCCATGCTTGCTGAGGGCATGGGGCAGGCTGGGTCTCAGTGACTAGAGATCCATCCCCCAACTCTACTGTTGAGGTCTAGCAAGTGGAGACTCAGGACTGGAACCCACATCCACTTTGCCAGGCAGATCCTCCCCACCACCTCGCTGCTTCTCACCAACCCTTATCAATCTCAGCACTGACTGCATGTTGGGAATGGCTGGTGTATCTCTGCCCTGTACCTATCCTGTCTCTACATTTCCCTCTCCCTTCTACTGTCCCTGGCTCTTTATCCATGTGATTTACAAAGGCCAAGCTGAACCACTACCCAAAATCATGTGATTTAGGCCTGACCAACCAGAATGTGTTCCCAAAGGACTAAGACCTAAACCAAGACCTGAGAAATACTTGTAACTTCTGCTAAATTGATTTAAAGAGATGGCTCCTCTTTTCTCTGGGATGTCTAAGCTGTTTGGATGAGACTGGAACTGCTGGATCATATATGCCCCGATAGGGAAGGACCTGCCCAAGACAAATCCACTATAAAGAGGCAGAAATGATTCCCAGGAACCCATATGAGCACCAGAATTCAGTCATGACTGAAGCAGGTTTTCAGGTGTGTAAACTGATTCTCTGTCCTCTCTGGCTTACAGTGAGGTATGTCACAGCAGAGAGAATTCTAAATAACTCTGCACTTCTTTTTCTCCTGTAAAATCTAGGCCTTTATTTTTGAGTCCAGTCTTTAGATTCACAGCTTTTGTTCCTGACACGGGGGAATCCTCATTCCGTACAAGGGAGGCCAGATGTCTTACCTCATTGGTGAAGATTAAGTAGAAGGAGAGCAGGAAGGTCATGAGACCCACAAACATGCCACCGGAGGTCTCGCTCAGTCGCTCCAGGAAGCCTGGCTGGGGGTCGGAGGTAATTTTGACATGTTCTTTCCTGCTACCGATACTGGAATACTGAAGGAGAAAAATCAGAATGAGAACTAGCTCTAAATATGTTGAAATTTGCAGGCTGGGCATGTAGAACACTTGCCTGGCATGCATAGGGGTTCAGTCTTTCTAGTACCCATAAGGAAGATAAATGTTTAATTTTTAAAGAATCAACAAGCTGTTTACAAAACGGTTAGAAGTTTTGTTTGCTTATTACATTGATTTGTGTGTGTGTGTGTGTGTGTGTGTGTGTGTGTGTGTGTGTGTGTTTATGCTGTATGTCTGTACAGGTACAGCTGTGCCACACTGCACACGTGGAGGTCAGATGACAACCTGTGGGAGTCAATTCTTTTTATACCATGTGGGTCCCAGGGATTGAAATTGGGCCATCAGGCTTGACAGCAAACACCTCCCTTCCCTCCCCCTTTTTGAGACAGGGTCTCACTATGTAGCCCTGGCTGGCCTGGAACTCACTGTGTAGATCAGGCTACCTTCAAACTCTCAGAGATCCACCTGCCTCTGCTTCTCGAGTGCAGGGATTAAAGGCATATACCACTAGGCCCACCTGGCTAGAAATGTGTTTTTATTTAAATTTGAGAAGTAGTGGCTGATGGTATGTGAATTGCAGGAGAGCCATAAGTTTCATTAAAGGAAGTCATAAAGACATAAATTCCTTAAAGTGGCCAAACTGGACCTAAATTAGCAGCCTGGCCTTGCTCAAGCCTTATCTACTGATCACTCCCTGGACTGAGAGAGACCGTTTACAGAGCCAGCCGGTCTCCTTTAGTGCCATCAGATAACTTGCCTACTTCTGAGAAAATAATCTTAGGAAGAAGACCCTCAATTACCCCAAGGACACTGACACTGAGCAAATTCCTGTAGCTGCATTCCACAGAGTTCCTATATAAGTCCAAACTGCTCCGCCCTTCATCGCAGATACCCTCATTCCTTAGAAGGGTTTATTAGCCCTTTGCTGGGTTCCCTGAATAAAGGAACACATTCCTTGCTTGTGGCAAGTCTGGCTCTCTTATTTCTAAACTTTAAACTCCTTCCTTTTTCTGCACTCTTAAATCTAACAGTGGCTGGGTGGGTCGTGCTGTACCCTGTGAGGTTGTAAGAGATAGAGGTGGGTTTAGAGCAGTTGGGTCACAGGTTTGCTAAGTGTCCAATGAGAAGTGGACCTAGTGCTGGGTGTACCTTCCAGCTGGCGTTATCAAGGCAGGCTACCTGGAGGAGGGGTATAGAGGCAGACCTTGGGGCAACTGTGAGAGCAATGGTGTAGGACAGGGAGAGGCTCTGGGGAGCACATCTGCTTTACCTGTGGAGTGCTGTTGGGAGATGAAGCAGATGGGCATGCCCAGGCAGCTTCCCACAGCTCAAGCTTTAGATCAGTGGAGTAACTTTGCCAGCCTGCTGTGACCTGAAGTATGTCTGCTGCTCACAACCTTGGCCAGAGGCCTGGGCTTCAACTCTGGCTCTGTCATTCACCAGCTGTGTATCCTTCACTTTCTTATGAGTAAAATGGGGGTGATAATCCAATGCATGGGGTGATGGTTTAGTGCCAGGGCTTCATAGGCACCATGTGGGAGTTACAGCTAATAGGAACATTATCAGATATCTCCATAACTGAAACTGGGGCTGCCACCCAGGCTGTGGGTGTGCTGACAAAAATCACAGAGATGCAAAGTTGTTCCCAGGTAGGAACCTCAGAGAGCTAAGGTCCCTTTGTGGTTGGGGGTCAGAGGGATTTGAGTTTGAGTCTTTAAGCATATTGGATGTCCTGTTCTCCTGAACATCTGTACCTCGAGCTGCTCAGGTCTGCTGGGGACTAGATACCTGCTACACCCAGAACCACACCATTTGAAACCTCAGTTCTCAGTGGAGAGAACTGCTGCAGGCAACAAGGTGACCATCAGCCCTCAGGATGACCACAATGGGAAACACATATCTGTCACAGGCTAGATATTGGCCAGCTCTAGGGGGTGGGGCCACCGCTACCCCATTTCACAGATGAGGAAATCAAGGTTCAGTGCTTAGGACATCTTCCCAGATCAATAGCCTCTAAGTGGTGGGTAGGGATTCAAACCTGGGTGGACCCCTTTGCTCTAAATTATCCTTCTCATTTCTTGGGCTGTAATGCAAATTGAATGTTGGGAGCCAGCCACAGGGAACAGCAGCAGGAGACCTGCATCCCTCCTGGTCAACCCTGAACCCAGAGAGGAAGAGAGGTCAGGAGGGTGTCCCTCAGGCTAGGGGAGAGGTAAGTGAGCAGTGATGTATGTGCATATATATGTGTGTGTGTTTACACACACACACACACACACACACACACACACACACACACACACCAGTAACACACACCCATGCCCAGCACACTGGGCTTAGAAGCAATGAGCAATCAAGCGATGAAAGGGCTGGGCAACGCACAGGCAGGGGTTGGAATCCCAGCTCTGCCAATGTGTGAGCCTGGTGTTTTGCTCCATTTCTCTGGTATTGTTTCCGATTGCTGGAGACAATACCTTCTGCCACACACACACACACACACACACACACACACACACACACACCAGTAACACACACCCATGCCCAGCACACTGGGCTTAGAAGCAATGAGCAATCAAGCGATGAAAGGGCTGGGCAACGCACAGGCAGGGGTTGGAATCCCAGCTCTGCCAATGTGTGAGCCTGGTGTTTTGCTCCATTTCTCTGGTATTGTTTCCGATTGCTGGAGACAATACCTTCTGCACAGGGTAGTTGTTATACCGAATTTAGTTGCCTCCACTCCACCCCACTGTCCTAAGATCTTTCTTGTTTACCCTGCTTGGTGGGTCCCATGAATGTGTCCCCAGCTAGGATTAGAAGCTCTGGAATTCTGTCCTCCAGGCATGACAAGGTCATTGCCATCTTGAAAATCAGGGCAGCTATGGCACAAACCCCTCACAAGATTAGGCCTATTAGCATCTCATTGGCTTCATATGCCCCACCCCCAGCGATATGCACTCTTGCTGAAGGAGCACACAGGAGTTAGAAGGCAGACAGAAAGAGGACTGCATCTAGACCACTTTCCATAGGTGTGCTATGGGGTGGGACTTAAGTGATGTAGCTGTGTTGAGGTCACCCATGCTCCTGTAAGTAGGCCCAATACACTCTTTGGACTTGGCAGAGTTGTTCCTTTTGGTCTATCACCATCCTATCTGGCATGAATGGATGTTTGTTCAAGTCTTCCCAGGAGAATAACACAACGGATCAACAACTGAGGACAACCAAATGTGTCTATGTCCCTTGGTGTGAGAGTCAGACCCCAACATACCCAAAATGGTCTCTGCCTGCCAGGACTATGTGTGTGAGCCTGTGAGGAAGGCTTTCTTCATGCATTAAGTACTCCCATGCACCAGGCTGTATGCCCAGCAGCCTTCCTCAAACCTCAGAGTAACTGATCCCACGAGAGTGAACCGGGATCAAAGGAGTGGAAGAATCTCCAGGTCCTGACTCCCAAGCTTGCCCTTGCCAGCACCTTCCCAAGCTGTATGTGGCATGCTAAGCTGGATAAGAGCCCCTCCGCAGGTGTCTTCTGCTGAGCGACTGTAAAATACGGTGGTGGTGATGGGGTGGGCAGCAGTCCACCTGCTTTGGTCAGGCTAGTCTACTGACTGCCCTCTGCACTGACAGACTGAGTCAGGTCTTTCTAGGTGCAGCATTCCTGACTTCTAATCCCCCATCCAGGGCCTGACAGAGAGCCAGGCAAGGCTGACTAGGGCAGTAACACAGACTCTGGCCTCTCAGGAGGTGTGGGAGGTTTGAGGATAGAGGAGGGGCCTGGGAAGAGGGCATAACAGGCCTGAGTAGGGCGGCAAGGACACTCCACCAAAGAGGGAAAGAGGGCGTGCCTTTGGCTGGCAATGCTCCCGAGTTGGCTCCAGAGGCGCTTCCACCATAGGTGGTGGTGAGTCACCAGCTTCTCCCACACCCAGAACCCTGGAGGTGGTGTAGCTCGGTTTGTTGAATGAATTTTGGGGCTTCACTAGGAAAGGTCTGTAGGAGGACTAGTTGAAATGGGAAGAGGCCAGAGGCCTGGAAGGAACCGTCCTCAGCTTCTTCCAGGCCTCTAACCAAATCAATCAGAGCTCGAAGGGCCGGCGGTAGGGAAAATGCTCCGTCTCCAGGTATTCAGCCCGGCAGCGCCTGCTACAGCATCTCGGCTTGGGTGTACACACCCCCAAAGGCGGGGAGGTCACTGCAGCCTTTGCTGGACACCTCCACCTGGGCAGGATCGCCTCCCCTTCCTTCCCACCGACTGGCAGGTTCTCTGTGGTCTCTCTGGTTTCCAAGTTCCACAAGTTTCGGAATCCCAGAGGCCCAGACGGGAACTAAGTGGAAGGAGATGCGCAGCGCACAAATAGATCCGACTGAGGGGAGCATCCCTATAGACAAGAGGCCCGAGGGTGGGTGGACCAAAGAACGCAGGGAAGGACACGACAGATGGGCGAGAACAGGGAGACTGGGACAGCCGCACCCACTAGGGTTGGATCTCCAAAGGACTCACACGAACCCGGGTAAAGAGACCGCCCGGATGATGGGGTCTGGGTGTGGCCCAGCGGACCAGGAGGCACTCACGTTTGCGGCCATGGCGGGCTCCGGCTTGTTGCCGCCTCGGTCTCTGGTCAGCTAGGAAGTGGGCTGACGACGAGAGAAGAGAAAGCAGTGGCCTCCTACCTGCCACAGAGCGGCAAGATTTGGCGTGGAATCTAGGTCCAGGCAGGACTCCAGATAAGTTACCACCCCGCGCGCTCTCAAGTTGTCTGCGCACGCGCATCGTCTGGCCTGCTGGGAAATGTAGTCCGAGCCCGGAAGCGTCCGCTACAAAATTGCGATACCCGCTTGTTTCCCTTGTGCGCATGGTCACTACAAGATTTCTGGAAACTGTAGTTCGGAAAGCTTGGAGCGTGGCGGAGGGGCGCGCGGGCTGCTGGGAAGTGTAGTTTCGGCTGAGGGGCTGAGGAGGAGGAGGCTCGGAGGCAGGCGCGCGGCGGGCAGGCCTGGAGGGGGCGGGTCCTCGCGGTCTTCTGAGCTACCCGCGGGGCCTGAGGAGAGCGAGGTCACCGAGTGAAGGTGTGCCCGCTACCGCCGCGCCCTCCGTTTCTGCGAGCTGCGAACTCTGGGAGCAGCCATGGCCTACTGCCGGCAGGAAGGTAGGTCGGGCGCTGCCATGGAGACCGGCGAGGGGCTGCAGAAGACCTGCAGTCCGTTCATCGGTACACGAGTGGGGCGGACGCGGCCACGTGCCCTCCGTGGTTTCTTCTTGGGTCCCTCGGGGCGGAAGCCGCGTGGGGTCGCTACCTCCGTTTTGCAGATGAGAAAACCGAGGCTCCATGAGGAAGTGGTCTGGTCCAAGGTCACCATGAAGCTGGAGCCCCGACCTCGCGTGGGAGATGCGGGACCTGGCCTGCGGGGCGCTCTGGAAATGCGGCGCTAGTGGTAGCAGGCCGGAAACTGGGGATTGTTAGGAATTAGTCACGCTCGCGCCTACCACACCCCACGTGTTTCCATCTTGCACCGGCTTTTTAATTTTCCTTGAAAATTACCACTCAGGCTCAGAGTCCCTACTACGCTCCAGGCACCGTTTAAACACCTTTGTAAGTCAGATTTTGTTACTGTCCACGTTTTAATCAGCAAGCCAAAGCCAAGAGGCCGGAGGGCCGTGAGACTGGAGTGCTCTGCCTTGGGAAGGACTCTTCCCTTCCCACCAACGTTGAGGCCCGCCTACTTCTATTTTCCCTGCTGTTACTTCTAGGTAATGTAAGAATCCAGACCATCCAGGTCTATAGCAGGATGTCCCCTCACCCACTGACTCCTTGTCCCTGACCCCTCCAGGCTCAAGGTTCCTGTCTTGTGAAATGAGAGGTTGGCCTTCATTCGTTTTAGGATTTGTGGAGCACAGTGTCAAGGCCAGGAAAGAGGGATGGAGGACTCCTGAGAATATAAAGCTGTCAAGAGATTTTATGTTGGATCACTCCCAGAATTCTTTGAGTAGCCCAGCTCTCTCACTTTAATTTAGGGAATCTGAAGCCCAGAGTAGTTGTGACCTGAAAGGTCGTACATCATTTAAAAACCTCAGTCTTCACCACCCAGCTTTTTCCCAGTACCATAGCTTGCTTCTAGAAAGCCTTCTCAGGGTCAGGGTCATAATTCACTGATAACTCTCAGCAGGACTATTTCTGTTAATTAATACTTAGCGTGTGCCTTACATGAAAATCCTCTGACCCAGCACTTTGTTACGCAGTTGGTTTTATCATGATTGGGGGGGGGGGGGGGGGTGTCTTTTTGGTTGCTATTTTGTCCCAAGATACCTGGCCCTTGTCATGATTCTTATTTCCTGCAAGTCAGTGTTGAACCTTTGGGGTAGAGAAGCTATGCAAGTGAACACTCCTCCCTCTTGGAGGGTTACAGGCCTCTCTCCAGGAAGGAGGGTGGCCCCACCTGCTGCTGCCGCATAGAACCTGTCTTGCTGGTCCAAACACTCTTTGCTGTTGTCATTTTTGTCTTATCCACAGCACTGCCCCTTCAAATGTGCGATGTAAGGGCTGAGGTGACTCGACTGCTTTATTCTTCCAGCTTTGTGTTTTCCAGCTGCCACTCAGCTACCCTGGCCTTTGCCAGGTGCTTCCTTCCTCTGGTCTTAAGATTGCTAACTCTTCATCCTTTAAGAACCAGCCCAAGGGGCTGGAGAGATGGCTCAGCAGTTAAGAACAGTGACTGCTCTTGAGAGGACCAGGTTTGATTCACAGCACCCACATGGCAGCTAACAACCATCTGTAACTCCAGTTCCAGGGGATCTTATGCCGTTTTCTGACCTGTGTGGGCATTGTACGACACAGATCACAGGTGCATTTACATACATGTAGGCAATATACTCAGGCACACACACACAAAATAAATAAGAACAAGAACCAGCCCAAATGTCACCTTCTCAGAGAGGCCTTCCCTGCTTTGTGTCTTTCACATCTTAGACTCTCTGAAATTATTGTCTGTCTTCTACCAAGATGAGAGGTAGCAGAAGGCATGGTATGCACGGGATGCTCAGATCTTCATGGAGTGTTTGTTGTGAGCAAATCATTGTCTGGGTACATTTATGTCAAAGGTCCATCCATCCCTCATTGGTCTCCAGGTTAAAGGCCTCAGAAAGACACCGAAGGAGTCCACAGTGTGAGCGCAGCCTCACTCCCTGCCTACATGTCTCTTTCTTTGTTTTTTTGTAATTCACAGCCTGCCTGCTCCTGTTCAGTCAGTAAATATTTTTATTGCACAAATTCAACATGCCAGCCATTGAGCATATAGTAGCAAGCAGGCTGACACATTCTGGCTTTACAGCATGAGAAGGGGTTGGCATTAAAGCATCTCCAGATGAATGGATAATTAGAAACTACAGGTAGACACTGTGGCAGGAGTGTCCTGAGAGGCTCTGGAGGGCTCCCAGCGCTGTAGGGATAATTTCAAATCCTCCTTTCTCAAGTCTGTTCTAGCCCTCTCACTATGTGGAAAGGAACACTGTTTTTATTTGTGTTTTTCTTGTTACTGTTTTTGAGACTGGGTCTCACTGTGTAGTCCTGACTGGTCTGGAACTGGCTGTGTAGACTAGGCTGGCCTCAGACTCATGGAGATCCATCTGTCTCTACTGGGATTAAAGGCATAAATGGCCTCAAGCCTTTTAGAGCTTTTAGACCCTTAGAGCCACTTCTTGTCTAGGCATTGCTTTTCTAGTCCTTCTGAAATATCGTATCCCCTCTGTCCCTCCCCAGGCTCTTTTGTGTTTGAGATAGGATCTCAGGCAGCTCAGGCTGGCCTTGAGTTCTTGATCCTCCTACCTCTACCTATAGGGTTCAGGAATTATAGGTATGGAAGAGCATGTCATGTTCATTTGGTGCTAGGGATCAAACTTTGAGCTTTCTGTACACTAGGCAAGCAGTCAACCAGCTGACTCCCCATCCCCTCTTAAGCTCTTTATCAAAGCTCCAGGTGAATTCCTGCCCTTGGGCACCCCTTCCGTAGAACTTCCCCCTCCCCATCAGACTTCTACTGAATGTCTGTGTGATTGTCAGCTCTCACCCCCAAGTCAGAGCAGGAGTTTTCTTCATAGTCACATGCTCCTTCATCCTGTCCAGTCTGTGTTTCCAAAGAGTGAGTGCGATGGGATGGCTTGCCTTTTGGGGTTGTTTTTGTGACAGTCACTCTATATAGCCATGGCTGGCCTTGAACTAACTTTCTTTTTTGTTATGTTTTGTTTTGGTTTTTTTAAGCTAGGATTTTGCTATGTTACCCTACCTGGCCTTAAACTCACAGAAATCCTCCTGCTTCAGCTTTCTGAGTGAGACAATTATAGTAGGCATTTGCCACTATTCTTGACTGAGAAGGGTGTCTTGATCTGTGGGTCTCTGTCTCTTGAACTCTAGAAAGGTCTCTAGTACAGATGAACTTAGCCAGTATTTGTTGAGTTGAATTTCCTTTCTAAATACTAGGGAGTTTTGTCTTTCAAGGGAGTTAGATTTTACGTGTGAAAGTCCTGGGCAGTTACATATGTCAAACTCTTGAAATCTCTTACCTTGGGGCTAGAGAGACAGCTCAGAGGTTCAGTGTGCTCGCCGTTCTTCAGCAGACCTGATTCTGGTTGCTAGCACCCACTTTGGATGGCTCACACTGTAACTAACTCTCACTCTGAGGGGAGTCCACTGCCCTCTTTGGCCTCAATGGGAACCTGCACACATACATACAAACACATATACATAAATAAAAAAGTTCCTATCACTTGGGAGGCTGAGGCAGGGGGATCTTGAGTTTGAGGCCAGTCCAAGGTAGATACAAGACCTATCTCAAAGAAGAAAACAAAACAAAACAGTAAATCAGCATTTTGTATCAGTTCCTGCATCAACTCTTTTTTTTGTTTTTAATATTTTATTATTTTTATTTTATGTGTATGAGTGTATTACCTGCATGTATGTGAGTGCACCTGTGTCGTGCAATGCCGCAGAAGTCAGAAGAGGGCTTCAGATTCCCTTGGAACTGGAGTTAAGGACAGTTCATAGCTGCCATGTGGGTGCTGGGAATTGAACCTGGGTCCTCTGCAAGAGCAGTCAGTGCTCTCAACCACTGAGCCATCTCTCCAGCCCCATCAGCTCTTATTTTTAATTTAATTTTTTAGCACTGGAGATGGAACCTAGGGCCTTGCACATACTAGGCAGGTGTTCTACCCTGGAGTTATAGCTCAATCCCCTTGCATCTGCTTTTAAACATCCAGGAAGCACAGACCTCGTGGGACAAGCAAGCAGTGCGCAGGATGTAAGGCAACACACTTGACATCCTTCAAAGTAGAGGCCCTGCTCTGCCCTCACTGCCTTTGGCTATGTTTCTTAGCCCTTCTGGGCCCATTTCCCCTGCCTGTGAAGAAAGATTAGGTGATACCTGCCCCTGCGTTGATGTGAGGCTAATAACTCACAGAGGTACAGAGGTAAAGGCATCACAGTGTGCAAACGTGTAGAAGATGCTGCAGGTACTGTTTTTCCTGGGATCTAGGGTGGAGTGAGTGCCAAGGAGAGATCTGAGAATACGCCCAGAAGGGTTGGCACCATGGGAGGAAGCTAGAGCAGTAGGCAACTTTGTCCTAACCTGACAGAGCTTCAGTCACTGGAAACCCAGGAGCAATTTGGATGTGCCAGAGTTTGACTGAGCTTTCCTGGGCTTGATCTGGCCTCTCTGGCCTCTGTATGCGTCACAAATCCCCCCAGGTGCCTTGGGAACTTGCCAGGTTTGTACCCTTTCCCTTTGGGCCTATGACTGAGTCTCAGGCTGTGCTGAGCTGAGGTCTGGGGCCACACAGCTGTCAGAGCTGAGTTGAGACCTTCATATAAGCTTAGCATTCAGCAGTTATGTAGCTTGCTTATGAGTGTTTGAAAACTGGCCAGTCTGCAGGGTTCCCAGTACTCCAGCATGCCCCAGGGCTTGTATGGATGCTTCCCAGGGAAGGGTGCTCTGATAAAACTATGAGGTACCAGGGCTGAGCAGAACCCAGGTAGGCAGAGGTCCTGGCCTTGTATGTCCTCAGGCCTAACCATTGCTGTGTTTTCCAGTATAGGAGATCTGTTCAGGTGTGGCCAGAGGTAAGACACTATGCTGGGTGTCCCTGTGTCCCCTGAGCCGACCTTTTTGTTGAGCTGGGCATCCTGGCTTTTGCTCTTGCCTGTCTTCTCTGAGCCCCTTCCTTGGATACTGCAGTCCTAGCATGGGCCCAACCTTTTGCCTTGCTCTCCTTAGCTTGCCTGGGACTGAACTTTCTAAAACGTAGACAAGAATCTGTGAGTGGAGACAGTGCCAGCAGCTTTCGGAGGGCCTCCTGTCTGCAACTGGCTTCAGCTTCTGCAGGAGCTACCTTGCTCAGGGCCACTCACTAAGCCCTGTCCAGGGGCACTTTTAGATATACCTAAAGGCTTTGTAAACGTTAGGAGACTCCCATGCCCTCCTGATAAGGGGTTCATTTCATCCCAGATCTCCTGGGATCAGAGTGGGCTAGTCAGGGCTGCAGAGAGGGTTAGAAAGGCCCAGTTCAGGCATCAGTCTTCTTTCCCCCCTCAGCTTCTTGGGGCTGGGGTTGGGTGGGTTTTTATTGCCAAGTGCTCAGGTCGGGTATCAGTTTTGTTTTATGTTGAGGGAGGGACAGTGTGGGTGCTGGAAAGGTTTGGGTGTGGTGGACTTGGGAAGTTCCAGCCCTGTGTGAGCCCAGGCAAGTCACCACTGTGAACAGAAGGCACCACTGTCCCCCTCAGAAGTGATGGGTGGGGGGACTAGCCGACAGGACCCAGAGTTGAACCAGTTCAGTCTGCTCTCAGGGACCTGCTGTGCAGTGTGGGTGCTGAGACAAGGTACTGTCCATCACAATGGAAATGTCTGCCACAGACCAGTGAAGTGGGGGAGGGGGGCTGTAGAAGTGTGTGGTGTATGGAGCCACAGGGTGTCCAGGAGAGCCAGGAGGGATTTAGCTAGGCAAGAGCCTTGCCTGTCCCCTGCTGCTCTCGAACAGTCACTCTGGGACTTTTGTTTTCTTACTTCCTCTTAAAATTTATTTTTGTTGTTTTTGTGTTTTGAAACAGAATCTCTCTATGCAGCCCACACTGGCCTTGAACTCAGTCTTCCTGCCTCAGCCTTTGGAATAAGCTGGGATGTGGGGTTTGTGCTACCATCCCTACCCAGCAGGGCCTGTGTTTTCTGCTCTATCAGTGAGTGAGGGTGATGATAATACATTATAGGGTCACTGTAAGGTTTCTATGAAATACAGCATTTACTGTCCCCACAACAATAGGAGAAACTGTAGTGGAAAACACACCTGCCTCCTGTGTGTTTCCCTGGAGGCCTTAGGATACTGGGAGCCAGGCCTAAATGTGGGGGGTTCTGGGAGTGAACTCTACCTTCCTCACACTGTTCACAGAAGACAGAAACATCAGCACATCTGTGAAGTGCTCTGGGTCTGTCCCCCATCCCAGGACTCTTCCTTCTGCTGGCAGTGATTGGAGACTAGAAGTCTTAGAAGGGTGTTGGCCCTGGACATTCTTGGTCACGTGTGGTCTCTGTCTTTCCGAGGCTGGTGCCTGGGGCATTGTCCCCTAGGCTGTCTTTCTGAAAACTCACTGTGGCTGCATCAGCTTTGGGCTGCAGGCTGGGTCCCTAAATCACCGAGCACTGGCTGCCTCACTGTTTTCAGATGTCCTCAGTCTCCTCACAAGGGCACCAGAAAGTATCCTTTCTCTGTAGTTCTTTTCTGCCGTCACCTGTGAGCAGCTTGTGCAGCACCTTAGGTGGGGCGCCTGGTTTCAAGTACTCTGAATATCACTGGCCTTTCATTTTGCAAGAGTCCTGTAAGGTCTGGTTCAGGGGAGGCAGAGCAGGGAGGGGAGTATTCCCAAGTTGGGGAACATTTCATTTCTTTTTGGGGGGAGAGGAGTTCGGTTCCTTTCTTGGTGGGAAGAGGAGATGGACTTGTATCTGAGGACTGTCATTGGCAGATGTGGGGACTAGCAGACATGTCCTTTGGCTGAGTTGTGGATTTTTGTCTCCTGTGGGTTTGGGAGGCAAGGTGGAAGGGCAACGTATGACTCCTTCCTCGTCCAGCACTTGGGTGGAGTTCCAGTTCAACCCTGGTTCTTAGTAGGCCCTTACTTGGGGCTGCAGGGCACAGGTTTAAACTGGCAGCTCTCGGTTTAAAGCAGGATCACTGCTCTCTAGTAAAATGCCTCTTCCTTTGCCCCAAATACTAGGGAAGGATCGAATCATATTTGTGACCAAAGAAGATCATGAAACTCCCAGTAGTGCAGAGCTGGTGGCTGATGACCCCAATGATCCGTATGAAGAGCACGGTGAGATGAAGAGCCCACAGACACGTTCTGGGGAGGCTCGGTGTTGAGAACTGCTTTCCTACTTTGAGTCTGCCTTGGCCATGGCCAGCTGTCTAGCCCTGTGGGCGCTGTCTCCCTCAAGGGGTGGGCTGTACCAAGCCAGCAGGCAGCAGTTCCTCCTTATTGAAACATTTCTCTTTTCTGCGTTGCACTCACTTAAGTAGTTGTATGATTCATGGTGGTTAAGGGTGACTAAGGTTAACTGGATTTCAGCAGTTGCAGGTGATGGAGAGATAGCTGTCTGTGCTGTCAAGTTACCAGAGTGAATCCTGCCATGTCTACCAGATGTATTTATAGGCAGGCTTGTAGTGGGCTGCTAAAATCCTGCCTCTACCCTACTAAATGCTCCCATGAGCACCTGCTATGACACGGTGTCTCAGCATGAATGCCCATTTTCTACAAGCAAGACTCAGCAAAGCTAGTCAGAACTGTCACACAGTCCTGGGCTCATCTCTGAATATAGCAATGGCTACTTGTCATCCTAAAGGCTTTGGGCTGGACACTTATGTGAGGCACGTGCCTGTATGCAATGTTACAGTCCACATGCAGTTCACAGGACTCAGTTCACCAGTCAAAATCAACTTTCATATCGGTGATGATGACTAACAAGTCAGGTGTGAATTGCTGGTAACTAAGGTTGAAGAGCTTGAAGCAGCCAGCCTTGGAGGAAGGGCTCATGCCTGGAACTTTTAAGACATGATCTAAAGTAGTATGTGTTCCTAGGTGGGACATGTTGCCTGTTACCCTGCTGTCGACACCTCAGGGTTACTCAAGCTAAGGGTGCATACCTAGCACTCTGTTGGGAGCATTGGCAAGTCAGATGTTACAGTGTTTTAGTGTTCTGAGGACAGCCAGAGGAGTGATCCCCAGTCAGCCCTCCTTAATGAAGAAAAGTGAATCCATGTCGGTTCTAGTCCTGTGTTTACCTTCAGGTCCACATCAGCTGTGCGCATGTTGCTGGGGCTCTGGAGGTGTAAACATACCCATTTTGTTTGCTTTGCCTCCCTGTGTTCAGGTGAATGCCTGGGCTGTACCTGCTAAAGCTGCCGTTTGGGTGGATTTGTGTTGTGTGCCCCAGTACACACTGCTCCCTGTGTCTGCTGCCAGGCTCTGAGAGAATGAAATAGGGACTTCTGCAGTTGGGCTGCAATTGTGTTTTTAAAGGCAGGCTTTCCCTATATGTAGCTTTAAACTTGGGATCCTCTTGTCAGCTTATGTAGTGCTGGGATTACCAGTGTGCACTACCACACCTGACTTTTGGGCAATGTTTTTTAAGTGTCAGACTTCATTCTTTTGGAAGCTGGTTGCTTGGGTTAGCACATTGGAGCCTGGAAGGTCAGCATTTGCATGGGTTTTATTCAGCACAGAGAGTCCCTGAGAAGTAGGGAGTGGGGGTGAAATGTGGAAGAAAGGGCTCTGGGAATCTTGTAGGCCCTGGCTAAAGTCCTGAGAGCCTCTGTGAGACCCAGACACCCACTGCAGACAGCGCTGGAGGATTGCCCCAGTTGCCACTACACCTTAATGCACAGAAGCTTGCTCTGCAGCTGTGGGTGATGGTGGTGAGCTGCTGGCTAAGGGGTAGCACCAGTGGCATTTCCTGTTGTTCCTATTTCTAAATAAGGATCAGTAAGGGTAGATAGATCCCTTGATCGGTAAAGCTTTCCAAGCTGGAATTAAGAGGCAGAGCTGGAATTGAGAGGTGGAGTTCAGCCTAGGACTTTGGACACTAGCTCATATGCCATGCCTGGGCACTCTGGTAGAGTGAAAGGTCATGTGTCATTTCAGTGGGAAGGTTAGAAGTTTTTTTCCTTTTCTTTTTGCAGTACTTTGGCCAGCCCAATGGAGGCAGTTCCCCCAAATGATGCTCCCTCTACCCAGGTGTGTCAACTTGACACTAAAGCTATTCAGCACAGCTTCTTTAAAAGTTCCTCAAAATACGGCTAAGCGATAGCTGCTGCTCAGCTTCCCAGGCCCAAGGAGGCAGCTTAGAAGCTAGACCAGTGCTTATATGGAGAAGGGGACCAGCAGCTGCTTCTATCCAGCTTCACCATGGCTTGCTTGGTTTGTGCTAGGCCTCTGAACCTGGTCCAGATCAAGAAGTAGCTCCACAGGGAGTGCCTCCCCACCCTGTGAGGACTGGACTGGCTTTGTGTGTTCTGAGACCATAAGAACATCTCTCACCTTTTCCTTGCCCGTCTTCCTGTTCTAGGATTGATACTGCCAAATGGAGACATTAACTGGAATTGCCCGTGCCTTGGAGGAATGGCCAGCGGCCCCTGTGGGGAACAGTTCAAATCTGCCTTTTCCTGCTTCCACTACAGCACGGAAGAAATCAAGGGGTCAGACTGTGTAGACCAGTTCCGCGCCATGCAGGAATGCATGCAGAAATACCCAGATCTCTATCCCCAAGATGACGACGAGGAAGAGGAGGAGAAGCCATCGGAACAGGCAAAGGAAGCAGCTTTCACTGAGGCCTCTGCAGCCACAGAGCAGGGCTCAAGCTCCTGAAGGCCACTGATCCCAGCTGCCGCTGGTCCACTCAGAGCCACAGGACCTTTTGCACAATGCCTTTCAGTTGCCCTCTGTGAAAGTGTCTTTCCCTCTGTTGTTGTGTGCACTGTAACGTACAAAATAACTTATTTTTGTGATCAGGGGTCTTGGCTCCTTGCCATATACACTGAAGAGGGGATGTGTACGAGTCCTTCATAAACCTATCTGTGAATGTAGTGCCACTGCTGAATTGTCTTCTCTTGATTGCCCTGGATTTTGACACTTTGAAATAATGTGCGGAATACTCTCAGCAACCAAAAATTGTTATTCAGGAGTTTCCTGTGAGTAAGTTGATTTATTCTGATTCATTGTGTCCCTTTTCATAGATTTTTATGCCTCTTTGGGAAATTAAGAATGCTGGAGTGGGGCCATTCCTTATAGAAGAGGCCAAGGGCCAGATTCTCACCAAGGAGTTCCCTGGGACTACTGTACTTCATTCCTGCCAGGCTTGGTTTCCGTGCTTGCAGTGTGCTCCAGGCTCTAGGATGCTCACTGGGAGCCTGTGACTGCCCAGTCCCTTCCTAGGTGAAAGGAGAAGCTGGTTTTGCTGTTCATTGTTCTACTGTTCTGAAAGCCTTGGTTTGGGCCCATGTTCACTCAGGCTCAGTGTAGTCAGCTGTAACATTCTGGAGAGTTGGGGACCTGACTGTTGCCAGAGCAGCAATCAAGAGAGGATGTGGTCTGAAGTACTTAATTAAAAGGAAATGTGATTTCTACCAGATTTTGAGTGTGTCTTTTTACTAATTAGGTTTGTTTGTTTAATTTTCTGTGGTACAGTGTTGAGTGTGTGGCAAGGCCTCCTGTGGTTCTGCCTCCCAGGCCACTTGTAATTTTGAGACAAACACTCACCAGGTTTCTCAGGTTACACTTGAACTTATGATCTTGCTTTAGCTTCCCAAGTAACTTGGATTACAGGTGTGTGTCACCATACCAGGCTAGAAGCATGTTTGATGTTTAAAAGAATAATAAGGAAAAATTCTCCTGAAATTCCTCTTTAAAGATGTTAGTTAAACTAGTTTGAGGCAGCACACGCCTTTAATCTCAGCACTCAGGAGGCAGAAGCAGGTGGATCTCTGAGTTTGAGGCCAGCCAGGTCTACATAGAGTTCCAGGCTAACCAGCAGTATGGTGATACCCTGTCTCTAAAACAAAACCAGTTTGAGTCTTGATATGCTTTATTGAGTTCAGAGCTCCTTTTTCTTTATGGACAGATGCCTTCCTGCAGACTCTATGGGTAAGCTGTGAGGTGAGGAAGGTTCTTCCATTTGAAGAGGACGAATACTGCAGATTACTTTGCTCAAAGGAACCACTGGGTTTTTTTACATTATGGTGTAGTAATGCCTTATATGTTCCAAAAGCATTAATTACTGCTGTGTAAAAAAAAATAACCTTAATTTAGCAGATTGAAACATGACCTCACATATCCTGCTGCTGAGGAGCCTAAGCATGGCCTTCCCGGGTCCTCTGCTGCAGCCTGGCCGGAGTCATCTTGTGACTTGGCCAGCCCACAGATGCCCAAGTTGTTTTGGGGGCAGGAATCAGTGGGCTGAGTATGGGTTGTTTGGCCTCAGTTCTTTGGTAGGTCTCAGTTCGTTATGGTCTGGGCTCAGAGCAAGTGAGAATAAGAAGATGGAAGGCAAAGCCAGGCCTGGTGACTGCTGCATGCCTTTAATCCCAGCACTGGGGAGACAGAGACAGGAGGATCTCTGTGACACCTAGGCCAGCCTGGTCTACATAGCCAGGACCAGTTCAGCTGGGGTTGCAGGAAAACCCTCTCAAAAAACAAAACAATGGCAGACCCTTTTTGTAACTTGATTTTAAAAACCTGGGGTCTCACCGAGTTAAACGACAGAGCTCCCATCCAGTGCATTGCTTCGGTCACTACTGTATCTTTGTTAGAAGTGACTCAGCCCACTCCTGGGTGGGGCCACAGGGCCAGAGTCAGGGTAGGGCATGCCACCAAGGTAAAGTTTGAGATCACAGTTAACTTGAGAGTTGCAGTTCTGAGGTTGGGAGATAGAGAGCTGTGAACCTTAGTTAACCCAAAACAGCTTGACAAATGTGGGAGGTGTGACAGGCCTGTAGACTAAACGGGATGCTGGTCCTCATCTTCTGTCTTGTTTGAGACAGGGTCTTTTCTTGTTATACCGCACACGCCAGGCTGACTTCTGGAGACTGTCCTACCTTTGCCTCTCATCTTACCACAGGAGTGCTGGGATCATAGACACCCACTACTGTGCCTGGATTCTGGGGATTCAAACTCGGTTCCTTAAAATTGCACAGCAGGTATTTAACTCACAGAGCCATCCCCTATCTCTAGTCTGTTGAGTTTTGACACATTTATGTACCCTTGAAACCATCCTGTAAATCAAAATAGTGAATGTTGACAGCTGTTGTGTGACTCTATACCTAGAGAGACCTAAACAGACATCTACTCACCCCAGAGAGAGAACCATCGACAGACCCAAGTAAAGAGACCACCAAAATGTAACTTGGCAAACCAATGAGTTTATTGGGGTTACTTACAAGAGAGGGGTTACAGGAGCAGACATGACTCAGACTGTATCACCAAAAGCCCACCCCAGCATGAGTGACGGCTCTCGAAAGCTTTAGGAAGCCTGGAGCACACTGTACAACCTGCAGGCAGCTGCACAGGTTGGAGAGTCTCTTCCAGGAAGCTCAGTCCTTACTGTGTATATATACATATTTATGCATGCTTGGGGGAGGAGGAGGCCGAGTGGATTTGGTCAGTTTTACAGATTTTCTGAAGCTATTGAGTTGTTACTTCCTGAGCTTAAAAACATTAAACTCCAAAGATCCTTGGCATGCCTTTGTAATTTCTCTTTCCTCCTCCTCAGTCCAGAAATAACCACAGACTGACTTTTCATCATTAAACAGTCATTTGAATAGCGATCAGTCTGTGGTGGGTGCCTAGTCTGTAGCTGCTGAGGAGAGTGACCTTGGCCCAGTTACTTTATTGCCTGGGCCTTAGTTTACTTATTTTACTGTGAAAAGTAAGTTCTGACTGCACCCTAAAGAAGTGGGGAGGAGGAGCAATGCACCCAGAAAACCTGGAACCCTGGGGGTACACAGGCGCTCAGTTCCTGGAAGCCAGCATCCCACCTGGCTTTGAGGTACTGCTGAGCACACAGAGAACCTGTAGCTCAGTGTCTTCCTGTTACCTGAACTGCATCCCCTGAATTGAATAGAGTGTTAGTGCTTTCATTTGTTTGTATAGTGCTGGCCTGGAACTCTCAGTGTAGACCACCTGCCTCTGCCTCCTGAGTTCTGAGATAAAGGCATGAGCCATCATGTACAGACTGGAGTTGTTTTTCTTTTTGAGATTAAATTTACATAATGGTAACTATTTTTAAATGTCCAAAGTAGTGACAACACTGTTGTATAATCATCATTTTCCTTGTCTTGAGGGCTCTCCTTACTCTAATCAGTCCCTCCTCCTGTTACGTCATTTCACACTGCTAGTCTTCCCACCCAGTTGTTCCCACCCAGTTCTTTCTTCTCTTGGCTTAGGACTACTGGTCAGCCCTCTCATGAATTTGGTTCAAAAATTTCTGTGGGGTTCCCTTTATGACCTCTATCATTGCTGATGTTTTTGTTTTTCTGTTGTATCATTTTCCTGATTTTATTTTGTAGTTTATTCACATGCTGTTGTAGTACATTGGATTTTGTGAAGATGATTTTTAAAAATTTTATTGAATTTCTGTGTATTTCATACAGAACATCTTAATCATTTTATACCCCTTTTGCTATTGGCCTCCCATAGGCCCTCCCCACTGGAATTCATACATTTTGTCATTTGTGTTAAAGCCTATCATGTCAACTTAGTGTCCCCAAACATTCCTCAGTGCAAGTTCATCCACTGAGGTCTAATCAGCCTATCCAGAGTCCCTCCCTTGAAGAAGATCAGCTCTTCTTCACCCAGCAGTAATCAGCTGCCATAATTCTTCTACTAAGATTGGGGTCTGCTGTCCATTTCCACAGTTCTGTGCCGGGTTTTTGTCTGCTTGAGTTTGCATGGGTTTTGTGCATGCTGACACCATTGCTATAGGTTCGTATAAGAAGAGTCCCAGGAGTCTGTAGAACCCTATTTCCATATGGTTATGTACCTCCTCCCTTCTGCCCCATCCTCCTCAATAGTCCATGAGCTGTGGATGGAGTGTAATACAGGAGTCCTGTCCAAGGACCTACACTCTGCAGACTCTTATTCTCTGTGCTTTGGCCGGTATTCATTGCTGTCTTTTGGATGAGGGAGCTTTGTTAATGAGAGTTGAGAGATGCATTTGTATTCTATCACTTGTCCCACTAAGTTCTGTGAGCCTTAGGTGGAGAGGTTCCATTGTAGATGTGTCATTTAGGGTTAGGCATTTCACAGACACTTAATCTGTGTGTGACTGGTTGTGGAACTCTGTAATAGTTTCTATCTATTGCAAAAGAAACATCTTTGATGAGTGGTGATGGACATACTTGTCTGTAAACGTAAGGATCCATATTTAGCACATAGTAAGAAATTATATTTGTCTAGGGATGTGACAGCCTTGGGGTTTTCTTTAAGATCTATCTCTCCAGCCATGTGTATTTGGCTATGTTTACAGTACCATACATGAGTTCCCAACCATTGAGTGGGCTTTAGGGCCAATTAGGTAGCTTTTGATTACCCCCAAGATAAAAGTGCCACTACTGCCCCAATATAGTTTGCTGGGCTAGTCGTTGTGGTTATTAGACCTTAAAGCTGGGCTTGGACCATTGATTGATGTTCTCCCTTAGCAACTTGCATGGTTCTCCAAAATTATGTGAGCTAGAATTCAGGGAGGTGGCTTCTAGGTCAGTTCCAGCTCCATTGTTTTAAGTCTTGTGTCCCAAGTATGTCCTGTCTTCAGCAATAGGGTCTTACCTTCAAGTTCTGGGAGGCAATCAAGGGCTGTGAAAATAGCTTGTGTAATTTTGGGAGTCTCTTGGACTACTGGGGCCAACAAATGAAAGGAGATTTCTCCTGTCTGGTACTGGTTCTTTTAATATAGCCTTCACCTATACACATGGACTCATGTAGAGATATTATATATGTAATTTTTCATTAGGTTTTTGAACAAATATATTTCCCTCTAGTTTTTTACACCAGCTAAGCATTATTTATCTCTCTCTCCCTGTTGAACCCTCCACCCTCTCTCCCCTGTTAAAATACCCCCCATTTCCCCCATTTAACCCTTGATAATACCTGTCTCCTATGCTACCCCCCTTGAGCTCCTTCTCCTTTACCTCCATGCTTCCTTGTATAACCCTCTCTGTTCCCCTCCCATTTAAATACCCCCATTTAACCTATTTCCACTTTGGTAACACCTGTCTCCTACTGTTTTCTCTTGGGCTCCTTCTTTCCCTTTACCTCCCTGGTTCCTTTCCATTTTCCTGGCTCCTGCATTTACATCAGGATATATACTTACATATAAGGATTTGGTGCTAGGATCCACAAATGAGGGAGAATATATGTCGTTTGTTTTTCTGAGTCTTTGTTACTTCACTTAGTATAATAGTTCCTACTTCCATCCTTTACCTGCCAGTTTCATGATTTTTGGTTTTTATTAGCGCTGAGTAGAACTCCATTGTGTAAATGTATCACATTTTTGTTAACCACTCATTAGTTGAGGGGCACTTAGGTTGCTTCCATTTCTTAGCTGTCGTGAAAAGAGCAGCAACAAACATGGGTGTA